GTATCTCTTTTTGTTTGTTTGTTTCTTTATTATTTAGGCTAGTCAAGTGAAGTAGTGGGAGTGGAGAATGTCTCTTGGTAATAATGACTTAAGAATATCATCACTATGGGTATTTTCCCCAAAGTACACAACCTCAATCTAATCATTTAAAATATCAGGCATCCCTGTGCCTCAAAGGAGTAGACACTGGCCCCATATGCCAGTGGTGGTGGGTTCAAACCCAGCCCTAGCCAAAAACTGCCAAAAAAAATCAGGCATCCCCAAAGGAGGGATAGTCTACAAAATGGCCAGTTGCCCTCAAAAGTATGGGAGTCATAAAAAATAAAACACCAAAGAACTGTCTAACAGTGGGAGGAGGAAAAGGAGCCTTGACAACAATGCTAGATCCTGAATTTGATTTTGAGCTTGGACCAGAAAAGGACATTAGTGTGGTAATTGGTAAAATTCAAATTAGATCTGTAGAGTAGTTAATGGTATTATATCAAAATTAATTTCTTGATTTTGACAAATGTACTGGGGTTAGGTAAGATATTGAAGCTGGGCAAAGCATATAAAGAACTCTTTATACTAGTTTTGTAACTTTTCTGTACATCTAAGATTATTTCAAAACAAAGTTAAAAAAAATACTACCACTGAAAACATTACTAAAAGCAAAAATTTAATATTTAATTTAGCCCACTTCAAAGTTATCTTTATAGTGGTAGTTCTGTGGTAATGTTTATAACTGGGAAAAGTTTTTCTAAATTTAATTGACAAAAACTTCCAGTTTTCTTTTTCTTTTTTTTTGAGACAGAGCCTCAAGCTGTCCCCCTGGGTAGAGTGCTGTGGCATCATAGCTCACAGCAACCTCCCAACTCCAGGTCTCAAGCAAGTCTCCTGCCTTCACCTCCCAAGTAGCTGGGACTATAGGCGCCCACCACAATGCCCAGCCATTTTTTGGTTGCAGCCATCATTGTTGTTTGGCGGGCTGGGCTGGGGATTCGAACCCGCCAGCTCAGGTGTGCATGGCTGGCGCCTTAGCCACTTGAGCCATAGGTGCTGAGCCAAAACCTCAAGTTTAAAAATATTAATTGTTGAACCTATGGAGTTCTTATGTCAAAAGAATAAACTTTTGTATATATGCTTAAAAATTTTCATAATAAAAATTTAAAATACATATACAAATTTTTTAAATGCTTGTTAACATTGTGAAGGTAATTTCCTATTATTGCTATAATTTTCATAAACATTTAAAATTCTACCATGGACTTTAGTCTGGTTAGACACAGCTAAGGCCAGAGCTGAGTCTAGAACCCTATCTCGCAGACTCCTGGTCTGCGCTATTTCTCTGACATTATAAACTGAAGCTCTTCATTTATTCAAAAACTTATCCTGAATGACAATGATCTTCAACACTTCAATTGCAACAACACAGTAGTAATATTTATAACTGCTTGCAAAAATAATGAAAATTAACTATAATAATTTGCCAGACTTACGTAAATAAAATATGGGTTGAAAGTAGTACAAGTATATACATTAAAAATAAGAATTTCAACTACTTTAGTTTACTGTTTCTTTTTCTTTCTTTTTTTTTTTGAGACAGAGCCTCTAGGTGTTGCCCTGGGTGGAGTCTTGTGGCATCACAGCTCACAGCAACCTCCAATTCCTGGGCTCAAGCCAAGTCTCTGGCCTCCGCCTCCCAAGTAGCTGGGATTACAGGCGCCTGCCACAACGCCTGGCTATTTTTGGTTGCAGCCATCATTGTTGTTTGGCGGGCCCAGGCTGGATTTGAACCCACCAGGTCAGATGTATATGGCTGGTGCCTTAGCTACTTGAGCCACAGGCGCCAAGCCTAGTTTACTGTTTCAAATGAACTTCTTTTTTGCTTCTTTTTTTTTTTTCCTTCCTTTCTCCTCTCTTCTCTTTTCTTTTCTTTCTTCCTTTCTTTCCTTTTTCTTTTTGTTTAGAAACAGGGCCTCACTATGTCACCCTGGCTGTAGTGTGGTATGTGGCATGATGATAGCTCACTGAGACCTTGAACTGCTAGACTTGAGTGATCCTCCTGCCTCAGTCTCCCTCCCAAGTAGCTGGGACTATGGGCATGTGCCACCATACCTAATTTTTAAAATTTTTTGTAGAGATGGGGGTCTTGCTTTGTTGTTCAACTTGGTCTCAAACTTCTTGCCTCAAGTGATCTTTTCATCTCAGCCACTCAAAGAGCTGGAATTACAGACCTGAGTCACCATATACTCCCAACCCTACTTTTTTTTTTTTTTTTTAAAGAGACAGGGTCTTGCTATGTTACCAGGCTGGAGAGTGCAGTGGCTATTTACAGGTGCAATCATAGCATACTCCCTG